GGACCTGCAAGTAAGTTGTATGCACAAAGCCGTAACTGGATTGCAAGTAACCGATCAAGCTCGCTAGAAAACGTTTTACAAAGTTGCGCCACCGGCAAGAAAGAACCCAAACTAAATCTGGTAGTTACATACTTATATAACCAGTGCATTAGCCTGCTCTGTAATTTTCCGCGGTTTGCGGTACACCCCACACTTGATCAATGTCAAAATTATCCCACAAATTGCGGTTGTTGGAAGAAAATTTGTGACGAGCTGTCAGTGTCTCACCTAAAAAGCAATCACAATGTACAAGAAATTGATTCCTGGCACAAGAACAAAATATTCTCGATACCTCGGCCACTCTTCATTTCCCTAAAGGCACAATTAAATCGCAATTAAGAATTTTCCGAGGAAGATATTACCTGTGCACGTTCTGAGTATATATAATTAATGTAACATTATCCATAAAGCCTTGTTGAGAAACGCGATCATCTACCGACTGTACCACCATACCGCCATAATGTTCGACATCCGGCACCTGGCTTTTCTGTTGCTTTGCGCTGCACCGTTGAGTTACGGAGGCCTTACGATCATCAAGAATGCTTTCGAACTTCCCAATGTGGCCAACACCGGCGTCACACTGACCGGTCGCACCCTGAAATACCAATGCCGGCATCTGCAGCCCGATTTCGGAGGGCTCTCCGCCGTATGCCAGACCATCACGAAATGCCCGGCTGGATCAGCGCAAGTGCGTGTCAAAAGCACAATTCCGGAGGAGTTCAGTAAGAAGGCGGCAAAATACCATTTTGACTGGCAGTGCGAAGGCGACAATCGCGTTATGTTGGTTGACTACCAGCCAGGTAAGCCTAGGTTAAACTTTCGCGATTTTGGCATTTATATAATTTCGGAAAAATATCCGGCACAATTTTTCCTTCATTGCGCACTAGAACAGCAGTTTTTTATTGCTGCATAATTAAGCATGATATCTGCTGAGAAAATTAATTCAAGGACAAACCGCTATTATAGTAAAATGTAAAGTTATAAAATTAGGTAATAAATATCTAATTCGGTATGAATCTACGAATTTAGCATAATATTATGTGCTTTAATAATTACGTAATAAAATAAACGATTTTATTCAGATAAGGGTACAGTCGGTTTGAAGGATGCCAACAACGGATCTAAAGTGATCCGCCAAGACACACCTTATTTCGCCACGTGCGCTTACTTCGAAGACCAAGCCAAGAAGAACATTCTGGAATGCTACAATTTCGAGTACTGTTCGTATCAGAGTGGAAAACTGGTATGCGCCGGTATCCCAGCCTACGGCGGTACATGGACCGGCGACATGAAAAGCGGTACAGAGCACCTATTTTACCATATATACCGCAGTTATGATTCACACTAATTCTTATTCCACTTTATTATTTATGGTGTTTTTTTTTATAGGATTGACGGGAAAATTTGACACAGTATTCCGTAAGCACAAATTGACACAAAACAATTTTCAAATCAATTGAAAAATCAATTTTCAAATATTAACCTATTTCCGGTTTTGCAGAACCTAACCGACGCAATACTTGCGATCCACCGGCACCAAAATCTAGCGCAAAAAGCAACGCCAAGCCGAAGTGCACGTGCAAGCAGGCACGCGACGAAGCGTTCGTACCGCTGGGTAGGATTGGAAATTTCTAGTTCCCTTTTAAATTAAACTTGTGCAGAAAGCATTGTATGTCTTCAACACTTTGTTGGAAATAACCGGTAAATTCCTTTTCAGGACTGGATAGCTTCGGACCAAGCTGCACTAAAGAGGGCAAATATAACAAACTGCAGTTGGATTCTCACGGTTCGAGCGCGTTTTGCGTCGATGAGAATTACGTTATGACATCATCTACGCCGGCTTCACTACCGGCGGAAGCGGTGCCAACTTGTGCTTAAACATATCGCGGAAACGTTAAGCTGCTGCCTTTTATAAATGCCATAATGGCTACCACTTTGGGTGGATGTCTACTGTAGATTCGTAGAAGCATGATGGATTGTGAATACGAGAAGAAGACGCCGGAAGAAAACAAATCATATCACCCTTGACAATAATCAAACCCTTATGTTTCTGGACGAAGCAATTCAAGTAATAATAAAGGTATCATGCATGGTACCCTACACCGTATTTACAAAACTAGTGAAGTAGGAGAACTTCACATTTGAGCTTTATTTCCACTTATAGCATATGTAAAAGGCGTTTATATTCCATATTGCGCGAAATAACGATTCCCAGTACATTGGTAGGAAAGTCTGTCGTTGGTGTAGTGGTTCCACTCAACCCTACAATTATTTTTCTGAGAACGTGTATGAGCGTACAAAAACAAACAAAATATATTATACGATGCTTATAAGTTGAATATGTATATACAGGTACTGGTAAGTACGTACAGAAGGTACAGAAAACTGCAATAATTACAATGTACTTCACACAAAGAAATGCTGTTTGCTGAAAGATTTATTTACTATCCAGCTACATATATTACGTGTGTTATAAAAGTTTTGCGGGCACGGTTTGTCTCTTTACTTGCACTATCATTTCCGGCGCAAGAATGTTGCACCCGACGCTTTTTGCTGCCGTTGATTCCAGTCTATTTCACCAATAAATTCGGTAAGGTCCAGATCGGTGGTGCTGCATCGTGGTAGTTGCGGGTATGAAAAATGGTCGACCATTTTTCAGAGCCAGGTGAAATGTAAGAGTCGGATCCAGATATAAGGGGGAGGAACGTGGGCTCTCAAATTATAACCGGTGCATTACATTTCTTTATTATTCCGCGGTTTGCGGTGCACCTTACACTTTGTCAATGTCAAATTACACAATTCCGGCTGGCAGAAGAAAAATTAACCAGCTGTCAAATGCTTCAGCCTAAAAAAGCGTCCATAACGTACCAAAACTGGTCCCTGGCACCAGAAGAATGCATTCTCGACACCTGACCATTTTTTATTTTCCTAAAGGCACAGTTATACCACAATTAGCTGCTTTCCGAGGAATATATCTGTATATGTTTTTGTAATATTCTAAATTAAGCCGGCCTTTTTCTGAACAGCGAACGTTTACCGACTGTTCGTACCACTGCACACCACCATAATGTTCGATATCCGGTACTTTGCTTTTGTTCTGCTCTGCGTTACACCGTTGAATTACGGTGGCCTTACGATCATCAAGGATGCTTTCGAACTTCCCAATGTGGCAAATACCGGCGTAACGCTGACCGGGCGCACACGCTGAAATACCAGTACCGGCATCTGCAGCCCGAATCCGGAGGGCTCTTCGCCGTCTGCCAGACTATCACCAAATGCCCGGCTGGATCAGCACAGGTGCGTGTCAAAAGCACCATTCCGGAGGACTTCACTGCTAACACGTCCAAATACCATGTTGACTGGCAGTGGGAAGGCGATAATCGTGTTATGCTGGTTCAATACCAGCAAGGTAAGCATGTGTTGTGCTTTCCCGATTTTGGCATACAGATGGCAGCCGGTAAAGATAAAAAAATGCCGCCATGTAATCTTCACTGCACTGGTTCATAAGAAAATAATTTTTACAACCGCTTTTATAACATTATATCGTAACAGCTGAGAAAATTCAATGCAGAGCATGCAAGCTATAAAAAAGTATAACAAAATGTACTGCAGTAAAAATGATGTTGAACGTTTCTATAAAAGAAATTTCAATTGCACATTCTGACAAATTCATATTTATTTAAACCCCTTATTTATTTAAGCCGGACGCTTCTTTATCATCATTTTATTCGGCATCATTTTAACAGAATTTTCAAACTTTGCCGCGCAGCTGATTTCAAAAACATTAGAACTAAATTTTCTGTTTCAGAAAAAGGTACAGTCGGTTTGAAGGATGCCAACAACGGATCTAAGGTGATCCGCCAAGACACCCCTTATTTCGCCACGTGCGCTTAATCTGAAGATCAGGCCAAGAAGAACGTTCTGGAATGCTACAACTTCGAGTACTGCTCGTATCAGAGTGGTAAATTGGTATGCGCCGGCATACCTGCCTACAGTGGTACCTGGACTGGTGACATGAAAACCGGTACAGAATATCTAATGATGCATGCCGCAGTTCGATGAATTTCTGTGTCATTTTTCAGGATTGACGGCAAATTCTGGCACAAAACTTCGTAAGCTCAAATAAAATTGCAAAATATGTAACAGATAACTACAGTTGTAGTGATAATCAACGATGATGAATGATATACTGTGAATGATATATTAGTAACAAATGTATAAGGAGGTATACAATAGATATTAAATTAATTTTATTTAATTTATGTTAATGATTTATCTGGACCTTCTTTGATTTTCCAGAACCTGGACGCCGTAACACTTGTGACCCGCCGGCACAAAAATCTAGCTTAAAAAGCAATGCTAAGCCGAAGTGCACGTGCAAGCAGGCACGCGAAGAACTTTTTCTACCATTGGGTACGAACTACGAATCGTACGATGGGAAAAGTCTGATTCGCGTAGAAATTAGAACTTGTGCGACTGAATTTTTCACCGTCACTATAGTATTATAAATAACCTGAAATTGTTATTTCCAGCGTTGGATAGCTTTGGACTAAGCTGCACTAATGACGGGAAATATGCCAAGATGCAGGTGGACCCTCACGGGATGTCGGCGTTTTGCGTCGACGAGAATTACGTTGTTACAGCACCCATGGCTACGTTACCGGCCGAAGCCGTACCAACTTGTCCTTGAACAAATCAAGTGAACGTTTAACCGCTGCCTGTTACGAATGCGATAGTTGCTATCATTTGGGGGATTGTCTGCTATAGAAATACGAAGGATTGTGACTGTAACGCGCCAGACGATACATTTCGCCATCATCAGCAATACTAAAAACATTTTATATGCCCGGACGTGGCAGTTCTAGGTAGTGTTCGACGATAGTACGCTAGTAACCCTATGCCATATGTACCGGTAGTGTACACGACAGTGCCCGACACAAAAAAGTTTTGCAGGTGAACAATTTGTTTACCAGCCCGAAATTAACTTTAACTGCTTAGCCTTTGTTAATTACTGTCGCTAATTACCAATCATTGAGCGAATAACAGACAGCAGTAGAAACCGGTTTGTTAGCTGTACATGTGGCCAGTTTTGAAGTTTAATGACAACCAGCTGAACAACTGATTATGAATATTCTGCTATATTTGGATTGGCATTAGAGTTACGGGCTTTGACGGTATTTGCGTTCCGATTTCCAACAGTAGCCGAATTTTTACACTCTCGCTTCCTTCTTTCTAGAGAAAGAAGGAAGAGAGAGTGTACTTCCCTCCCCATAATCGATGATATCATCTTCGATGTCTGTGAGGGAGTACTCGAGCATTGCCTTCACCACAGTGGGCTCGTACATTCGGTATGCTTTAATCGGCCGTGGCGCTGGATTTTCTGTAAGGCTGTGCTGGAAAAGATAAAGGGTCACGCATACAGAAGCTTCCGAGCCAATCTGCAAAGCAGCGTCTTGCATGAGTTATAAACGAGCTTGTCTGCACGAAGATTGTTGCCGCATACCTGACGAATATACAGTTCGGACTTGTCGTTTTGACAGACGACATTATCCACATCCGTTTGATTTTTCAAAGATGCGGCATCTTCTTGATCGAACTCGTATCCGGTTAATGCGACGATTTCGACCATAATCATTCCACTGGGAATGTTTCCCGAGTACCTGGAACAAGGATGACCGCTGATGGAAGTAAAATGGTTGTTGGCCAATGCAAAACTATCGACCATTTTTCCGGCCGTGTTTACACTTTTAAATCATGAAATCATGGCAGCAAAACTGAATTTGTGGCACTTACGATGGGCAGATTTGGATTTGCAGTCGCTTATTATCAAAATCGTGCGAGCTGAGCGTAAAGTTTAAACCAATATTAGAGACTGGAGGCTGGTTGGGCGTTAGAGATACTGTATTAACAGGGAGCGGCGGAGGTGGTGATATCATCTTTTCTTGGTATCGGTATTCCAACTGGCACCGCGCTGTGCCTTGACCGGAAGTTTTGATTACCACATTGTCCATCGTCGAGGGAAGTTCAACGCTCTTGGGCGCCAGACTGTCCGAGGTAAGGGAAAACTTGCCTTCTTTGACACCGACGACTTCCACATCCAGCCGCTGCGACTGGAAACTGGTTTTCAGCTCGCTCAGCGCATTAAGCGCCACAATGGTATCCTGTCAAAGCATTATACGATTACGTATAATTATTATTGTGATGCTAATCAAAGTTCCAGATACGCTCAAATTGTTGTATAGTCAGGCTAATAAACCAAAAACTAAATTTTTATTAACAAAGCCTACAGCTGCTTTGTTCGCACCATGAAACCGTTTTAGTGTTCCTCCGAAACGGGTTTTCAGGTCATTTTGAATGCTTACTTACGTTTTGAACGAATGCAAACTAAATTACCTGGTTGCGATTTTACCATAATGTGTGGCGGAAACGCAACGGTGCCTTGAGTTGTAGAGTTATAAGAAAACAATTTTATTGAGCCTCTGGTAATATCAGGGTACCCTCACCTGTGTTGATTTAAAGCCTCCTTGACCGTTTCGTTGGGACAGCAGCCACTCTACAACCGGCGTTAAGTCTTCACTATAACTGCTGTTACACAGCGCTAACAACGCATACGACGTGGTTTCCACGTCCTTCGCCGTGAACTGCCGACCGGGACCTTTCAGGTTTTTCTTATCCATCCAGCAACGCTTTCCTGGTGACGGTTCTATCGCCAGACTGTTCAACTTGCGACTACACTCGCCGGTCTTCGCGCTGCCCATTCGACTGAGCACGTAGCATGTTAAGCCAAGAGCAAATGTATCCGTCGTCTTATCCAGCATGCTTTCCAAATACTGTCGTGCTTTATTCGTGATATCGGTAGTGCGCCCGTTTTCCACATACGCCAACAAAACGAAAGCGGTCAAAACATCACCATCGGCCGCAGCGCCGGCCAGATGCCGATCAATAATGAAGCCGTCTTCGCGGAACGATCCGTCTAAACTGTTTTTGGAATCCAGAAATGCTAGCGCCTTATTAATCTGGTTACGGTCCACGGAAACGAATTCGCTGGCCAGCGCCATACCGCGCACAATGTAGGCTGTAAGCCATGTCGATCCGTTCTGGCTGGCTCGGCCAAAGGTACTGCAGTTCAAATGCATTTCTTTAAAAGTGAGAGATTATCGTTATATGTACAGGTTTCCGAGCGCGCAAACCAGTTATGCAAAATATTAAATATTAATTTTCTTTCCTGGGTTTCCCTTACTTGTACGACCCGTCTTTCAGGCGGTAACTGGAGATTTTCTTAAATCCTGCAATGGTAGTCACTTGTGTGTCGTGTTGCAAGGTTAGCGAAAGTCCATAGTTATGTGATGCAAAACTCTTAAAACTTCCTTCCAGTTAATGTTTTACATAATGACCTTTAAGTATATTGTCCTGCAGTTTCTTCTCGCGCTGGTTGACAGTGAGGGCGTTTCCTCCAAGTCTTCTTAAATATCTGGCGAGAAACACGTTCGGCATGAGAACAGACATTGCCTGTTCCCCGCATCCGGTTGGAAGTCGTATGAGTCCCTCGAATTCTCGACTTATGTCGGGTATGAACAGCTGCTTCGTAGCGGGTGCCCACATATCGCCTGCAACAATATTATCGTTCGACAGTCCTCTTTTGCAAAGTAAAAAACTCAGTAAATTTTTGTACGTACCAAAGACAGTCAAAGTAACCCCGAGCGATCCAGGCACCACATTGGCCGGGATGATGCTTTTATCCACGGGGATATTTACAGTGGGCGTGACTGACGATAAAGTCACTGCATCCGACGTCTGGGTAACAGGCGAGCCCGGCTGGATGATTTGAATTCTCTTCTGCATCTTGTCGACAATGACACCACCACGCTCGAAAACTTCAGCGGTGACAATGACCACGCCCTTTGAAAAGGGTCCCAACGGAATCGGGAAATGCTGAAAAGCGTTTTGCTGCTTCACTTTCAAGTCGGCATTCCTGGCTTGGCCCCGATTGGCCGTGACCGAATAGCGAAACCCCAGGGTGGTCGAACGGGATTTTGGGCGGAAATTGAAAAGCGTGATGTTGACTAAAGTTGTTTCGCTTTCGACCATCGTATGCGGGGTGTCCATGTGAATATAGAGCTCTTGATAAACTCGCAACTGTAAAGCCAAAGCGTTGCAATTATGCAAGGTTTTCCTCAGTGTAACATGTTTATTTGAAGACATTTTCTTAAAAATTTTGAATAAAAATTATCCTTATATTTGTGATTTTAACTTGTTAGGGTATACATGTATTTACCTCGCTTGGTTTCTTCGTCAAGCCGATCGGATGCTCGGCACTGACGGCAAATGCCGTGATCACCCATGTGGTAATGGAATCCGGTACTATCTCCAAATGAGATAATTTTCCGTTTCCACTACAACGGTATTCTGTAGCAGCGGTATTGAGTAAATTAAATAGCAGTCTTACTCAGTTTGTTTGGTGACGAACATGAAGCTATCACGGAAGTCTTTGCGCACCAGATCTGAACTGGCAGACTGCTGGCCTAAATTACCAAACCACGTCTGTGATGAATCTATGAACCGACATCTCGAGCAATAATGACACTCTGTAATAGTAAAGGAGCACCTTTTGATGCTGCCCCAAACGTGGAAGCCGAAAACGTATCAAAGACCGAAACCATCAGATTTCCGACCTGTGAAAAGAATTTTCATAAGTATACCTTACATTACCAATACTGCTTAAGATAATTATATTATATGATGGACTTACCTGAATCCAGTTTTTGTTATCTAACGTCCGCTTGGGTGTCTGCGCAGCCGTCCGCAACAGCTTCTGCAGAATCTGTAATAATGGCGAATTGTGCTTTATGCCATAGCAACCTCCCAAAAGACCCTGGAGGCCCGTTTACCTCTTCCGGGGAGAGATCATGTCCGGAGGCCAGTTGTAAGAGATTCTTGTCAACGGCCAATAAGCCCACCAAAGAGTTAGGGTCAGCTGTCACTGTGATCTGGGCTTTATTTCCTAGACCAGGGACAACGTAATCCCGGCGAGTATCTTGTGGACCGACAGTTAAACTGACCTGAATATTTTAATATTTAAAAGAAGACGAATAAAAACCACCGACAATGCGATAACGAAGAAATATTATGAATTATTGGCATATTAATGCATTTGTAGTTCTCTATATTCAAAATACAGAGGTACTCAAAATTACGGTTGTATTGGATAATGTGCCGGTACATGGTGCTAAATCGTGTGAAGACGCGGGGACTATCGCTTTTGCACACTTCAAAACGCTTTTTTGTACTGTTGTTTGCCATTGTGCAACCAACTGATTGGTTTACCTTCGTAAGAATCGATTGCACAATTATGTTAGGGTTTAATGGAAATGACTACATAATTATAGGCACCATATGGCTAGAGCAGAACGGAGTGCAAAAGATGTGCTGTTTTGAACGGGGGAAAAAGGGGTATCTAAGTACGGCACCCTTTTAACATTTTGGAATCTTGTTTCGTCTCTATCTCTCCAACTAGAAGCCGTGTGCACAAACGGTTTCACGCCCAAATAAAGAAATCGTTTGGATAAGGGATGGTGTCGCAAGAAAACGGCAAAATCTGTTTATCAGTGCACCAACGCAGAAATTCCCATGCATGTACACGAATTATCGAATACAATGTATGTTCGATGTATTTGTACCGCACCGATAAATGTTTCTAAACGCACATTTAGAGACGTTTTGCTCTGACGGCAAAACTTGAAAAAACCCTAAAAGAACTAGTAAACTTAAGTAGTACAAGTGCAACTTAAAAAATACTCACATCCTTAATTAGTGATCGCTGGTCAGTTGTAATTTCTGCGCTATCGATTTCGATGCCGTACAAACCGAAGAAATAGCAGATAATGGTTGCCGATGGCGACATATCGGCAGTTACTTTGAAGGACAGACGGTCGCTCTTCTCGTCCACCATCGTGGCCGATTTTGATAATGCCACGCCTTTTCCAGAAACCACCTGCAACGTGTACATAAAAGCTCTCCTTGACATTTTTTAAACTTTTTGCAAAGTAAAGCTCCGCCACCATGACGTTTAATTCACCGCGTAATGCATCAGCGAACAATCTTGACTGCACTCCAGCATAAACTCTACATCTTCGCCAACCATGTACGTTTTGCTCCCAAAGATCCGGACATGCGCAGCCCCACTAAAGGCTGTCATGGGTCGCCGTGTAACATTGACGGTCCTAACTAGATCTTTCACGGTCGCCGTAACGACCATCACGTGCGCATCCGACGATGAAAGTATCTGCAGTAGCACCATGCCTTTCTCTAGATCCACCTTCTTATCAAGTATCTGGACAGGTCTTTCTTGGGGCGTATGCAGGTCGTGGGTAGGGTAGTAGACCTCGCTGGCGGTGAAGAGAGCGGCCGTTAGCGCGTTCGTATTGGGGCTGCCGTCGTGATTGGCGATGCGGATGGTGATGGTGCTTTCGAAACCGGCTCGAAAGGTGTCCGACGCAGCACCCAGTTGGATGGTGAATGGGCTGCAGTAATAGGGGATGCGCTTTTCGGCTGTTTCAGTTTTGTTGGTGAGGCGTTCTTTTGCGGTGGCGATTAAAGCGATGTAGCCGTCCATGTCCTTCTCGCAGAATTTTCTTTGCATCGCTTGATGATTCAGTTTGTAGCTGTGCAATGGGCTGACACTGGTCATTTCCGCTGTCTACAAATTAAATAGAAAAAGGGAAATAATTTCTACACGGAGGTGTGTATATACAGTACGAGTATAATTTAAATGACATATTTATTATAATATATTGGTTGAGTAGATATTGCATAAATATCGACTTCCGTGTACAAAAGTCGAAGAATGAAACAAAAACTTTAAACACAGTCGGAGATACAAGTACCTACATAATTTGTTTGACTACAGAAGGACTATACGATCTTGTACACCAGTGTCACGATCTTGTACATCAGTGCTCAGTATTTGCATGCCACATAACTTACAAAAAAATCAGATTTTAAAAACTCATTAAATATTCTTTGCATGAATCTCTTAGCTTAGGGCTTATATGCACGCAATTTGGATAAAGAGAACTGTGTACCTGTGTTGGCAACACTTTATCAGCGGAAGCCGAGGGATCTTTTATGACAACGTCAACCGATCCCACGACAGGATTTCCGGTTTGATCTCTGAAAACAATTTCCTTGAAAACTGAACTTATTCGGTACATTTAGCTTCTTTATTAGTAAGCGGAAAACAACAAGCGACAATAAATTAGTTAGAATAAAAGATCCGCTAATTACCTAATGATAACATTCAGCGGCAACGTGGAATCATCCCTGGTTATCCATTCCGGGGTAGTGAAGTATACCCCAAACCGGGGAAGACCTAGTTCATAAAAAGTATGACCGGCCAAACATTTTTAAAAAGCCTAAATCAAATGTTCTAGGTCTGTACTTTATATCCGCAAAGCTTATCGTTTCGCCATAAATCACATCATTTCCACAAAACAAAGCAGTAAATTTGCGGGACCACCGGAACCAGCTTTTAAAGAGCCGCACTCAAATGGTGTCATGACGTTTTTAATAAAAAAGCTTGCTGCAGAGTACCCACTAAAGTTAACTCGCCCACGATAAGCACATATATGCGAATAAAATTTAGTGCTTTTATTTTTTTTAATAATTATCGCAAAACATCGCGTTGCTATCCTGGTTCCTTCGGCATACGCAAATAAAGCATTTCTAGCACTTGCATACAGTTTGTTTGTTTGAAAGATTGTAATTTATTCGGTATTATTTGCTATCTCTTCTGATTCGAGCAAATAATTTGCAGGCAGAAGACTTACGATAGTCGGCCACTCGCAGCATTTTCGAAGCTCTGTGATCCTTGGCGAGAACCTCCACACTCCAGTTGCCGATTTCCGGTTCAAACGGCAACGGTTGGAAGCTGCCTTCGAAGTAACCAGGGCCTGCAAGAAAGCCGAGAGGCGCAATGTACCGGCATCACCTATTTGAAATGAGCAAATGCACCGGAAGTGCATTCATACTGTTGGTGTTCGCGTATGTAATGCCGGTTTTAGTCTCCACGCCAACTCCATCGGCGCCCTAAATCGCCGAAAACAGCATTATCAGCGGCGAAAAAGTTGACTTTCCCCATTAAGTATATAAAAAAACCCGGAAGGAAGCAATATTTAATTAATGAGTTCATAAATTTCATGATGTATGATTGTTTTCGATAAAAATACTTATTTAACATTAAATGAGCAGCTTTCCGCTTTTCTCTGAAAACCGTAACAGACTTCTTTTTTCAAGAGCGCTCGAAAACTGATAACGATATATATAGCAACATTAAAGTAAAAATATAAAAACATTGCGCGCTAACACGTCAACCGGTATGCGAGAATTAGTTTTTTCTATAAATTAGCTCCGAATATCATGCGATTGTCGCTGCCGGGTTAAAGTAAATACAGTGCAGAATTTTACCTTAAGAATGACCGTAATTGTCTTGAAACTGGTGGACAATCGCAGATTTTGATCCAGTACCAACACTCGAAAGCGGACAGTGTCGGCCGCCCGGTACATAGGTTTGTCCAGTTGAATCAGGATGATGTCGTCACTAGGCATCGGTTGGAGGTAGGTTTCCGAACTGTGTATCCTTTGACGACCGTCCAGTTCGTTATTGCTGTCTTTGTAGACAAACTTGACCATTAATTTGACGTCGCCGGTGTCCGGCAAACTGAAAACCTTCAAACACAAAATATTTCTTCAATTTTATTTATACCATATATTATTTTATTTATTTTCTTTAATTTCTGCATGTTTCATAAGCAAACAATTAAGTGTTCCAATACGGCTTGTAGCTTTTAGCAATTGATGTCAGACACTAAACTGAAGAACTTTCCCAATGATTAATGATTTTTTTATGTTTACGTTTCAGTGTTCGCTGGACAATTTAAATAACATTTGGCATCAATTATATTCCAGCTTACTTTTACGTACTACAATAAAATTCTACTCGTGGAACAGCAACAGCTAGAAAAAAGCCCAGGTAAAATAGTTTATCAACAATAATTTTCAAGCGTACGATATTTTATTTATTTTTTAGCAACTGCGGTGGATTCGAAAAGTATTACATGCTTTTATTACGTATTTTACAGGAAAGCGTTCCACATTTTTAATTTACCTTAAGTCGCAACTTTTTCTGTTCTCCCTTTCGCAGCGTGACGGTTCCCCCTTTAACGGATCCCGCGGACGTGGAGATGCTGGCGCTGATGTCGGCGTCGAATTTCTGTTGGAAGGATTGCGCAACAATTTCATAGTCGGCATTTGGGCGGATTTGCCGGTGCGAATAAACAATGGTCTGGCCATCGTCACGGGCGGCACACAAGGCCGTTAACGCCAGCAAAATCACGAGGGAAAATTTCCCAGCCATTTTTAGCACTAAAGAGTTAACAAATAATTAAAAGCTGTATGTCTTATTTTCACAGGACAAGAGCATAGTGAGCCCTGATTTGCCGCGAAATACTGGAGAATGGATATTACTGAAAATTTAGATTAATCTACAGAAGTAGCGACGTTTCCGTCGTGATCGTTGTCGTCCGGTCGAAGGTCCTCTACTTCGGCATGACGGCAGTTGTTCGTGGGTAGCAGAAATGTGCGAAACGCTTGACGGAAAGCCGCAGCATTGCAACTTCGTTTTTAGCCGTGACCCTGGAGCTCCATCTCACACTGCTCGCTGACGCCTGCATCTGATAATCTGAATAATTATCTGATTATGAAAACTTTAGTTTTGAATCAGACTGTAAAAAGTGCAGTGCATGGCTTAACGCTAAACACTTGTACCGGCATATTTGTGCAACGGTAAAAAATTCAAAATAGGAAATATAATAAATACGAAGAACGTTACACGAATTCTTCTAAAATATCGCGCTGAAGTTAGATTTCTGATAACGTTCTGTACGATAGTAGTTCTGCACCGCAGTAAGTGATGAACATGGAGAATGACGACAATACCGAGGCGCCAGCTTCTGGAACGTACAACTACTGGAACGTATACGCCTACTTCAAAATTTAATTTGATGCTAATTCATTTTAATTTAATGATTTAACGTTTTCACGCGACGGGACATTGTCCACTAAGAGCGGAAGCCAGACAAAATTTTTATAGAATTACGACGTCATTCGCCGCATTTAACACGATTTAAATTTATAGTTAAGGTAGATTTGACAACGAGGTAAGAAGCTAGGACTATAAAGAGTTCAACAGAAAATCAACTGCATGGCGCTTAAAAAGTTCCGGAAAATGAAAATAATTCCTTCGTAATGTTTATTTACTGCTGTGTGCGTAGTACTGCGTAATAACCATGTTTATACCATAATACCATTTACATCGTAACGTGCTTATATGCTTATGTGGCCTGGAAACTAACGGTAGTCATGCTGGTAGATACAGTATTTACAATTTGTAGCATTCACATACACTTTATCTGATAATTTTTAAATTTCTGCAGACATTCTTTGACACATTACCCGTGCTAACAATGTGGCCAACAGCTCTAAAGCTAGCGCCCTTTGGTGGAAATTAGTCACGAACTTCACTCGTCAGTTTTCGTACTTTAGCATTATTGAGATTTTGATCCCCAGGGATGATCATGACGTTGATTTTTGTCAAGTGGCTGTTTCATGCGAAGCTCAAGCTAATAGAGCGCTGAAAACTAAAGCATGCTGTCGTATCTGTTACATAAATAGAGTAGTTACGATATTCTTAATTGTGATGCCGGTTGTAAGGTTTGGTAAGCCATTAAAGCTGTTATAGGTTATAATTAATTACAAACGCTGTATCTAACGAATAACAAGCCCGCAAATTCCTCCTTCGCGCAACCATGAGGCGCAGTCAAATTGTGTTGTTTACTATAATACTGGCGGCATGTCTCTGCGCTTTGGCCTGTAATGCTGTGAAGATACCCTCGGATAATGAAGGTAAAGAAAACATAAAACAATAAAATTACTATGTTATTCTTCTGCCAGTTATATAAAAAACTAATCAGTGTCGGTCTCGATGTTACGTTTTCTTCAGCCCTTGGTGATTAACAGTTTTAGGTACATTCGTACATATGCGTTTTGCGTACTGTAAACTCGTAAATTGCGCAGTCTGCGCTATACGCTGGAAAAGAAATAAATAAAAACATCGAACAAATAGTTCTTTCCATAGGCCGACCGTACGCCGCAACGGTCGGAAACGGATATCGTTTTATGAACGATTTTGGTTCTCAAAGAATAACCGGAAATATAGAACTGGCTAGTTTTAAATTTTACAATGTGTTATTTTTTTATGTGTGTTTTAGTTCGACTTGAAAAGTTTTGTGGTGGTACCTATATTCTGCCTTGTCCCGAGTCTACGGAGGCGGACCGCCGTGCTGGACGACTGGGTTTTTTACACGTTCCGAAAAGAAACTGCAGTGTAGTACTGGCTATGCCCAGCGATTGCACAACGGAATCAGCCATATACCTCCATATTCCGTAAAACACTACTTACACAAACAACTTAATTTTTTCTGCAAAAGGGCAAAAGCATTAATACATTATATATTTGTTTAACATATAATTATTTCTTCAATACTGCACATGTATGTCCAGCTGTAATAACGTTGCTTTTGGCAGAGTTTCTTATATTGGCCAAAACCAGACGCTAGAAATCTTTGAGACGAAGGATGACCAGCTCGAACTAATTAAACAAATTCCAGGCGGCGAAATCCTTAACATCCCCAACAGTCCCTTTCTATCTGTAGCGCAAGTACGCTCCCGTTATGACCGGACTCCGTCCCTGACGATCTTCATAGGAGGCGGACCGCAGCAGAAAGACAATCCGTATCACGAAATCTGGATGGACTACACGCTTCTGACCAGCGAAAGTAAGCGACACATTGAGAAGGGCAAACCTGTTACGAAGAGCCAATAAATACATATATGTCTGACACGGTACTTGAAAATTTAATTACGTTACAGGCAGCAAACTGCCCAACGAAGCTCTGTGTGAGGCACTTGAAGGATACATTCCCAAGGCCATTATGTGTAATGACGCTGATACTGGCCGAGTCAGCTGTCCCGAGGCATACGTCGAACGGCTGGATCCCAACAGTGTACTAGAAGTACAACGTTGCGGTATGTACATAGCTGCAGATCGTGAGTGTAAATGTGATTCACAACAATATGAAGTACAAGATCTATACCACGCGCGGCGCCCATAGTTTTCAGATCTCAATAATCAAAACGACTTTTTTTAAAAACTGACAGCGCCAACAGGTTCTACCACAGTCCAGTCCATGCGTGGTTAATTTATTGCTGCGCTAGTGAAGTAAAGCAGGAATGACGCAAAGTGATTATGCCGAATACTATCGAACATAAACGCTGCGTTTTCATACATTACTATTTTTGTTTTTATATTTCGCATCATTCTCAGATGAACAGGACTGTACATGGTGCAAACCGGATCATTCAAAATCCACAACAAACGAGCCGGGGACAACGCCACCAACCACTCGGAGACCACCCGAGACTGGAACCACAGCTGTGCCACCGGTGGAAGTGCAACATGTTGACCTTAGCCCAACCAATGGTAATCACACTTACCTATTTGTCACGACTTGACGTGGGGGTAATATTTTAAATATGTTTCCCGCGAATGAGAGCGCACAAACCCAACAAAACATCAATAACATAACAATAACGTCAGTTTGGCATTCTGCTACCGCAGTCGCCATGGTGGACACAAAGGTCACCACAGATACTGTATCTCGTGACATCACACTACGCCGCACGCCCTGCTCTTCTGAAGTACAGTACACACGAAGAAGCACAAATCCTCACAACACCAGGTAGCGAAGCATTTGCAGGGCTTGTACTTGGTTTCACTGCAACCTATCATGCTTTCACGACGTTCCTCACTCATCATTCTGTATGACTGCTTTCCTTGTCACTGGAACCGTCACTGGCGACGACGGCTCTCTGGGTTTGCTCGTCTCTGTTCCATGAGGAATTCACTGGTATACAGGTCACGCTCTTTTCCCTTGGCGCGCAGCCGAGACCCTTCCCATGTCATGATTGGGCAGCCTTAAGCAGACATAGCATAGTCAGGAGCCTCCCGGAGGAACGACACTCGTTAATTTCTCCACAATCGCGGCTTACTCAACTGCCTCCACAGGTGTAGCACGTCCCTCCCGCTATACTTTCTCTAGTGGATCCCATCCACGATTCCGGCTGCCGTTGCGAGCAGTGGCACGTTACATCCGATGGATGGAGTCGGTGTGCCCCTCCCGCTCTCGTCGATCGCATCGTTCCGACAATAAAGCAGCCTTCATTAACATTTATACGCCACTGATACTGACATTCGACACTATGTCGACTAACACGAGATCTACCGTCACGGCGCAATGGCTAAGAAAACCACAAAAACTAAGAGCACCTAAGAAAAGCCTAAGCAAACTGAAACGGTTTAGCAAACGCTCTCCACGTTTTGACGGGCGATCGGCTTCATATCTCTTCGAAGTAGTGACGGTTGACGAAACTCAGTCGAGAAAATGGTGGGTTAGAATTTTGTGTAAGAATGTGCTACCGATTCACGTATGTAATCCTCTAAAATGTCCCGACGATCCTGTCTGACTGCAATTTCGATTCCGGTCGCCTCTGCCTGAGTCGTATCGTGTCCGAATGTGCAAATTCGTATCCAAAAATTTCGTAAATTCGTAACCGGACGTTTCTGACGAAATTCCGGGTACAAATTTAATTTTTATTTTCATCATTCTTGTTAAAAAAGCAAAATAACAACGGGTGGGCAAAATTTACGGCCGACGTTTTTGGCGGCTTAAAGGTTGAAGCGTCCGGTACACGTTTTAAACGTCTGGACGTTGCAAACGGTTTGCACCCGTGCAAACACAAATGTGACCGGTACGCGGCCTACAGCACCGTACTGATCACAGCGGAAAGTAATTAAATTTTCATATAGTGCAGGGTTCCTGCACAGTTCCTTATCTTCACCTTAAAAATTAATTGTACGCCATGGCCGGTTATTTTCAGGGAAAGGAACCGTAACATTTGTCCTAAAACCGCTTTCACGTGGACAGAGCTTTTACCGTATTCTACTGGGCGAAATTATCCTGTACGTTAAGGACCGCGAGGTCTGTGTGGGTGAGGAAGGCCCCCATGACTATATGGAAAAGAGACAGCGCAGCCCGGTCTATAGCCTAATCCATCCCAACTGTTCGCAGATAACTCACTGGGTAACCTTTTCCTCTCGCCGCGAAGGCGACATACCACCGTTTATTAAATTCGGATGGGGCTATCACATGACCAGCAACGTCCTCTTCGAGTTTGCGTCGACGGTAGGCGGCAACCACGATCAGCCTATCAATAACATCGGCCGTGTGGCCGTGTGCGACAATGTCGCGCTAGTTGATGCAATGAAAAAGCAAGACTTGCCGTTGTTGCTGGATTACTCGCCGGTTATCATTAAACCGAAACAGCGGACCCGCGAGCACACGTTATCCAAAACGGAGATCTTCCTCACGGTCGCCAGTCAGGCCTTGATAGGCGATATCCTGGAGAATATTGAAGCAGAAGGCTCTTCCGGTCTAATAACACCGGAGGAACTTAGCGCCATCAACTACTCTCTGGAAACTCCTGGCTGCACTCTGGCCAAGATTCTCGAAGCTAAGACGAAAAACCTGGTTTTGGCAGTAGCAAGTCGACTTACATCCGCATTCCATCCGAGCCCCAACTCGGTGCACCGGGCCAGGAGTACGTCGTGGAGATATGGCCGCCGGGACATTTCAGCCCGGTGCACAACCACGGAAACACGACCGCGGTGATTAAGGTTCTGCAGGGCTCCATCAAGTCGGAATGGTATAATCCCATTGTCGATAAGAGTTTCGAGCAGCCGGTGTTGGTCCGATCGCAGATGTTCTATGCCAGGAATATCACTTGGATGTGGTCGGATATGTACCAGACACACAAGCTGCATAATGTGGATCCACGTGTAACCGCTATCACGATTCAGGCTTATCGTTATGAAAGTGAGCAACACAGAAAGGAAACAGTGAAGGAGGACTTCTTTTATTATGTACAGCCGAATAATTCGTCTCTGGGAAGATTCTTCCCAACCACCGATCTAAAGATTGCAGAAATTCTCAGTCCTAATGGCAAGGTTTTCCAAGAGTACCGCAACAAGCGCTGTTAATGTGTTAAGAATGCCATTAATTCGCTTATATGCAGTTTGAATGCACCATGTTTTCATTCTTAACCAGAAGCAATGTTGGTTGATTAGGTTTTTCTTTTATTCAAGCAGTGTCACAACAACGCATGCTACAAGTCCATGAAAAATCCAGTAAATTGCTACAAAAATTTGATCGGCCTACTGGTTATATGCTGATAAATGTGTGTCCAGGGTCCAAACCGAACCTTTTTGAAACAGTCTGTAACAGAAATACAGGAAACAAAAAGTAGGTTGGTGTTGCACTTTATAATCTGTAAATTTTATTTCAAAAGCAAGTGTACAGAACAAATCAAAAATACACAGTAGTTAATCACAATAGCAAAATCTCGTTTAGCGCTGCTGCTCCTTCCATCGTCCTGAGTACGGAAGCGGCGTTGCCTGTCTGAATTTCCAGCGACTCGTTGGCGGAGGAACTCGTGCGAAGGAGGTTGTTACCGATTTCTTTCACTAAGACGGCAGCTGACTTTCCCCATGGTCCGAGTGTTTCAAAAGCTAGTGGTGCGAAGACGTACCTACTTCATATTTAAAAAGACTGTATCTGGTGCTGGCCTGGGATGTAACCAGCCGCAGCAACATGGCCTTGTCGTACATCGCAGCCATATCTATTCGAGCCGGACTGAAGCAGCGCCAGCCGAGCGGAGCAGGACCGAGAAATACCGCAACTTCACCCAGGATTACTGGTTGTCTCCTCTGGCCTTCGAGACCTACGGACCATTCGGACCAGAAACCACCCGGCTGCTTAAAGTGCTAGGAAAGATGATCCAGCAGCAATCAGACGAACCGCGAGCACTAGAGTTTCTGCATCAACGGATCAGCATCGAAATTCACCGAGTAAACGCAGCATGTACAGCATCTCTTTATAATGGGAGCAGCACCACCGGCGGCGAATTTAGACAAAATCTTTTCTGTTATTCGCCCGCCTGTGTCTGTAGATGTTGCTGTGTAATTCGCTTTGTGTTTTCAGCTTCTCACGAACTTATGTAGAATGTGTGGAAGATTTTATTGCTCATAACAAAATGCAAAACATGTATCTGTAACTGCCTTGTCTTGACACATCAGAATTATAAAACTGGATCAGAATGTAACGCACTGCACTGAAATTCAAGCTTCTATGCGAATAGGTAGCTATTTGTTTTTGGTATAACAATTATTTGAGATACTTGCTAGGCTTATTCTCAACACCACACCAATCCAGCGAAGCAACTTGATTCTGCTCATAATGCACTGTATACTCTGTAATCATATTTACGTATTTGATTAATTTTTCGTTACCCCAAAAGAAAGATTCTGATGTCAATCATCCGACTTCGCAATTCCTGAATAGATCGATAAGCGTAGATGCGTAAAACATTGTTGATATTTGCAAGTAGTTTTTAACATTGTTGAGTCCTGTATTCTTGCATAATGTCGCCGTCCATTTTAGAGTATGGTATATTCCACGCGGATGATATATCATCAGTGTATGGGCTACCCGATTTTCCTTGGTATCGTTTCACGTGATCTCTGAATCCTGCATTTTGGTAGAGTTGAACAAAAACGACGACAGTTTTACCGCCTTCATTGGTCACCCGGTGTGTTTGGTACATATCGGGGTTCGTCCACGTGAGGTCACCCTCAGAAAACTCCTGCGATTTTACTAGCACAGGCTTCTCGGAACAACTGGCGATCGGATTGTACCACTCCAGTTTAATCGTGCCGTGTAAGATCTTGATCACTGAAACTGCACGACCATGATCATGCACGCCGCTATAGTGCCCCTTGGGCCAAATCTCCATTACCATGAAACCTTCCGTTAGATGTGCTGGTATGAAAGTGTAAAAATACACGTGCCTGTTGTCGGTTTGGTTGGCCAAGATCTTGTGCAGTGCGCAACCCGGAGTGTCCATTGAATATGTGAGGGCCGAGATCGCCTCATCAGGCAGTTGAAATGGCTTAACCTCTTCGTAGAGCCAAGCAGTGACAGGGTCGATCAGGCCCTCACTTCGGTCTAATAGAGGATGGAGTAGCGTAGGCTGATTTGTGTCAAAAAGGAGAGGGGAAAGGTCTTCCATAAGTGGTAGGTTGCTCCAACCGGATTTACCAACAAAAACGACATTATCGGCAATGCTTACGACGTCCGGTTCGCCGGTCCACCAGGTCCTCGGGTTGGTAAGAGTTTTCGTGTTGAGGGAAAAATAAAATAAAACATTAGCTTCCACAACTTCACCGTATCCAAATTTGAGATATGGAAGGTCAAGTCCGGACGAAAACGACAACCAGTGTGTCAATTTAGAACAGTTAAAACGAATCAGACTGTGTGCAGGTGTTCGTATTTGGTGTTCATACACGAAGCGGGAATCTCCTTGTCCTAAAAGGACCTGACGATCGAAGACGTACAATACTAACCGACCCAAAGCTATGCTATAAAAGTTTTGTCCGGCTGGGAGTGGTCGGAAACTGTAGTAGACGGTTCCCTGAACTGCAATCACATTGATAACGTTGATAAACTACTAGCATAAATTTCGGATCTAAATGGATCCGAATAGCTGAGTGCTTGTCCACATGCATGGGCAAGTAGTACTCCCAATTACTCGGATCCACATTAAATTTTTTAACAACATCAGTGGCCCTCACTGGAAATTGTTGGTTGAGTGCGGGTAATTCTTTAAAATTTGGCACACTAGTCAATATCTCCGCATCCAGGTTGGACGTCACATGATCGTCACTAGAAACACGGTTGCTTGGCGCGGAGTTAGTCGTGGATGTCCTGCTGACTGTAGAGAGTTTTTTCGGAACGGCGGTAGTTGTGGTTGTCCTGGATATAAAATGTGGTTTAGGAGAACTAGTAGTGGATGATGTGTTTATTGTGGTAGATGTGAGAAGTTGTTCAGATGAGTTTCCTGGTATTCCGCCTTCACTGGTGGCCGGCTGATCTTCTCAAAATTATCGTCAATACACTTGTAGGCCCTCTTCAATTTCACCTCATCGAGAGGGCTTAATCTCACGCGTTGACCCATTTTATACTGGCCGTATCTGGGTACGATGGCTGGCCTGCTATGGTTTACAGGTTTGAGGGCGAAATCCCATGGTGCATAATGCAGGATAGACTCAAAGTCATACAGTAACCCGTAGGTTGGCATGTGGGATAATATAATAATTATCGTAGTTGTTTTTGTACATGTCCGGTTGAATGTGCTTGGGGCACACGTGGACGTACTTGTCACGGTCAGGACGATTTTGTTCATGGTAAAATCCTAATGCATGAAGCAATTCATGGAGAATAGTGCCCTGGTCCAAGCAACCTTTTCCCAGGTTGGTGCGTGTTGCTCTGCCGATCTTCCGGCCAATTTCGGATTCACAGCTGCAACAAGCAGAAATAGCTTGGACAACAGTGTAAAGTTGCTAACGATTTCAGCGTCTGACAGCTACTGAGCCGTTAAGCTACGGTGTTTTTGTGTCTGTGGACTGTGGTTGACGCAATCAAAGCCCCTTGGCTGACCTTACATCCTTGTCCAACCTAGACAGCTGGAAGAGCCCAAGCGCTGCATATTTCGAGTAACAGCAGCATTTTTTATGCATGCAGCCGTCCCCACCTACCAGCTACAGTGCTACTGTCGTAGTACATACAGCGCTCTGCCGACTCATACACGTACTGCTTTTACTCCCTGTTAACTTCGATTATAATTCAAAGTGGTCAAGTAATGAACTACCGATGAACTGGATAAAACAGTAGCTGGTTCTTCTGCTGCCGAAGGACCACCAATGGAACATTTTGCCCAAGGGCCAAGTCGTAAATCGTAAGCGCTTTGATAGGTCAAACGTGGTGCCGCAGATGGAATTTCGAATCACCCCATATCGACCACAAATTTCAAACAAGTGTGGTGGTGCAACAGAAGTATGGTTATCGACCTTTCTGCCGGATCACATCCACCTTTTCCAGTGGTTGTTAACCTTTCTGCCGGCTACTGACGCGTGCAGCTGGTTAACTCGTCCGGACGGACGACCGCGAAGGCTATCTTTTTTATTGTGACGGTTTGGTTGTGCTTTTAATGCAACGCGTGCTTGGAATCGCCACAATTGTTAGCCACTGTAGACTTCTCTGATAAAGTTGTATCTTACCCTTGCCTTTCATACGAGGTGATCTGAATGTACTCGGATTCATTGGTACGTGGCGTGAAGCTCAAGCATTCTGTCCGTCTTTCAATTGTTTTCATGGCAGTTTGTATTTGCATCCGGAGACTGTGATCTGCAAATTACAGATTATTTATGTAAACTGTCGTCGATCAACCGTGAAGATAACTGATACTTGCATCACATGCTAAAAAGTTTTAAGGGTTTGTACAGATTACGCTCCACTACTGTACATACAGATATGTTGTGATCTTTTCCCCACTTCCACCGTCGCTACCGTAGGCACAGTAGCTTTCCTGGTTTGAGCTGATTTGGACAAATAGCTATTGCAGCTTATAAGCCTTTTGCCAAATTTTGTACAACTAAACTGCTTGAAACTGCAAAAAGCTGTAATTTCCGGCGGTAGGGCAAAAAGCTGTAATTTCCGGAGGTAGCTTATAAGTCGATAGTTACGGTACACTGCACAACCGGTATTCGATAGTACGGCAGTCTCAAGGCATTTTGCGCTTCCGTTTGTTTACCTTGTTTACCTTCCCGATATTTCAAAATTATTTATCCCACACCATTAAATGGAGCCAATGGGTGTTTATATGGGCGAGAGGGTGCTGTTAACTCTTCTAAGGGCTGCTTAATTAAATCACGGGCGGCTTAAATTTCTGGGGAGAGCTTCTAAATCAATTGTTTCGGTATGCTGGCAGTCGGTATATGCGGATTTCGCAACGTATTTAACGTCGACGAGGTACTAAGCATAAAACAATTACATAAAGCGATACGGCCTTTGATAACTGACCAACGGAAGGATGTAATGAATAAGGTATGCAACGTCCGTTCCGCGGCCAATAGAGGCTGCTGCTGGCTGTATCGTTGAGGCTGGGTGCCGCAAACATTCCGTTATCCATGGTATCGTTGACCCAAATGATATCACTCTGTGACATGCGTTTTTCGGATGTTATGGATGGGTGGAGCCTGTTCCGCCAGTCTGCAACGAACGCCAGTACAGCAAACCGGGCACAGATAACAACAGTCGATCGTGTGGAGCTGGCCCGTGTAAGTACGTAGTACTAATACTAAAGTAGGTTCCCTGTATCTGATGCGCCTGTATGTTTTTATATTCGTAAACCAACAGTGAAAGAGATCAGCTATAAATTTGTAGATGATCCTATACGTGTATTTTGACATTGGAAATATTCAGACGTAGATCCATAAAATCATGGAAAATGTATGAAAATTCATGAACAAAGCAAGGGAACAGCTGGTACGGTGCGGAAGCAAGGCTAGTCCCCAAGTTAAACAAAACGTCTGCCGGTCGGCCGTAATTGACATCACAGCTCCACATAAATCGGTGTGAGGCATTCATGCTATATAGTTCATGCCGATTTATTGGAGCAAGTGCAAAACATTTACGGGTTAACCCGTTCCACACCATGCGTGTTAGACCGACATGGTGGAGGACTTCCTCTCTATAACCCGTTGTTATGATCGTAGGTTGTTTTTATTGGTTTTATTTCAAGGAAGAGATGTTAGACGACAATTTAAAGTACAGAACTGGTAGCTTCACCGAGTTCATAAGGTCCTGGGGATGACCAAACATGGTCAAAAATGAACAAACTGGGCTCCCGGAGGTCCTGCTTGTCTTGACCGCCAGCCACACATCAGATTATTACCAAAAAAATCACAGGAGAAGTAATTGCTCAGCTTTATAAAATAATGAAGAAACCTTCAGAGAAAAACCGCTCACTGGTCAGTGATGGTCAATTCAAAATACCATGTCGGTCTTGACACGGTTGGGCATGGTTCTAATTAATTAATATTCTTTAAAAATTCGTAACTATTGGCAGAAGCATCGTACACGGTACAACAGACAATCAAACGAAAGCCCATAAAAAGCTGTATTAACTGACTGGAGCATAGCGGTCAGCAAAGTGACCACTGGTCAGCACAGACGAGAAATCCGAAAAATCTATTTTTTGACTGAATGCCATTAGAATCAATGTGATTAAAATGCAAAAACAACTGCGTAATGACTGTTTCGGCAGCTCTGAAATAAATATGGCCCGTACTCTCTACCGTGGACTGCAAAATTGACTCAACGTCGGGCTGTACAAATGACGCAAATAGCTGTATCTGCTGTGCAATGCATTTGCCTGTATGTAGAACGTTATTATTGCCATGCACCGCACTGGCTACTCTATTGTTCCTGGGAAAATTCGTATGTTCTTTGCTAATTGCAACCGAATTAAACGGTAGTAATGAGAGAGAAATCTTGTAATTGTTATTAAGCTCGCGTTATTAATACTGTTCCAGTTGAGCTTGCCCTTGCATCAAATTCATTTGGACCTTCCGGTTCTGAGCGCTCGTGCCTCGTAACCTTTAGAAATCAATCTGTGCAAATTTTAGCGGAGAATTTATCGTATGGGAGAAATGGCTTAGAAGTCATGCCTTCCTTTCTGAATACTAAAATCTGTAGATTTGTAGAGACTTGAGTGACCGGTTGTTTTTAGCAGAACTTTACTGACCTTGCTGTGCGATACTTCCGTATTTCTCAATATTTGTTCGCTTTACTCACTTGTGAAACACTTTGAAGAAGTTGGACACTGGTCAGTTAACGATGGTGATCAGCGCAAACATGTTTCCTGTTATTTATCTCCGGTATCCCATTCAGTTTCACGACCGGATACAGCATTACTTTCACTGTACACGTCACTCGGACTGCGTACAGTACGCGTTATCTACACTAAAGCCGATGACCAGTTGTCCCAGAAATAAGCAAAGCAGGACGAACTCTATGTATAGAGTTCGTCCTGGCAAAAGTGACCACCTATTGCGAAATGCCCAAGTAGCTACGTAATGGTGCATATCAGTGCTTTTTTGTTTAAAAATTTTCCTTGACCACTGGTCATCTTGATGACCACCACAATACTCCCATCTTGAAGTACTCGTTGAGATCTATCGTTTGAGCTATTGACATATTCTATGCGATTTTTTTATCAGTTGTTATAAACGGCAGTGAATAACATGTCGGCGCAACATGGTTACCATGCGTGTTAGGCCGACATGGTCATCTCCTGCTTGACCTATGGTCGCTAAAATTTTGAAAAAAATATTTTTCTCTTAATTGAATTTTTTTGTCCCAGACTGCCAATTTTCAAAACTGTAGTCCCATCCCTTCTAGTACCCGGTTTTCCTGGGTTAATATCCAGCTCATTTCCCGATTTTGTCTGTGTGCTGCTTCTCTGGGAACATTTACTGATTTTCTGTTACCGCTAAATATATAAAATTCCAACATTTACGTTTTGATAACAATTTTTCTGTCGGCGTACATGTATATTTCGATTATTTACCTGTCGGTAGCTCGTCGGATACTGATAGAACACATTGTGACATAAAGTACCAAACTAAAGCAAAACATATCAATCCGCGAAACATTTTGAGCAGACGGAAGGAACTCTAAGTGTGAATTGCGAGTGTGCGTACCAGACCTGGGCAGTTATGAGATTTCGACTCATAGTTAGAGTTAAGAATTAATCGCAGCTCGCGAGTTACGCTATGAGTTAAGTTAGCCGCAATAACTAGAGTTAACTGGAGTTAACTTCTAATAAAAAAATTTATGATTTTAGTAATCAGCTTCAAGTAGTCTTTTATGCATGCCGATATCAGTTTTTCCAGACTTGCGACACAGACCATTATTAGTTTTTCAATCTTAAAACTGATTTTTTAAATTCATGCTTTTCTCTTGTTTCTTTTTCATGCTTTTCCTGAGGAGAGAGCGACAGACGCAGTGTTCTTGAGAGAAGAAGATAAAGTATAAATGAAACATAAGAAAGAATAAGAATGAAACAAAAGAATGAAACATAAGAAAATATAAATGAAACAAAAAGAAAGAATAAGAAACAAAAGAATGAAACATAAGAAAACATTCTTGTGTTTTTTGTGTTTTGTTCTTATTGTTTTTCCTGCCTGTTTTCTCTCTCCCTCAAGAAAAAATCAAACATAAAAAAGTTCTTATCTGATAAAATTCCTCCTTCTTTTTAACCACACAAAAATTCCTCCCTCTCAAAAGTTCTCTCTCTTTTTGACCCTGGTTTTTTGGGGCCGAGCGCCGGCAACGCTGAACTTTTTTTTATGATTTCGCTTCACAATGGCTACCGAAGTTAGTGTAGCTGTTTGACAGCGTTGACCGCATTATTACGCTTCCCTTATGGGCAGGTAGCGAAGACGCATAGGCGATCAATTCCCGTGTGATTTTGGTCGAACATGATTTGTGCTCTCGATGACAAAATTTTGAAAAATACGTTCTCTGCACGCTGTTAATTAAGCTCAAATTGAACGACCACACTCACTGTCAGCATGGACTCCCGATGCATATTCACCTAGTCAAAGCCTTGGGCGGTCGTAGTGTACGTCGGCTCGAGGAATTGTATGCACATACTTTTGTACACACATACTTTTGTAATTATGGCAATTTATGCGATCCAAGGTTAAAATAACATTTTTTCTGATATTTTCTATATTTTAATTTCATTTTTGCTTTCAACTGAAATCCGCAGAGTTACGCTAAACTCGAGTTGCGCTTTATTATTTCTGAGTTGCGCTAGAGTTAAGTTTTCGTCCTGGCGAGTTAAGCTTCAAAGTTAAGTTATAACTCGTTAACTCGAAAAAAACTCGCGCTAAGTTAAATAGTTGAAATTAACTGCCCAGGTCTGGTGCGTACTGTCTTTAATAAAATTGGCTTGAAAAAGCATAATCGATTATGCTACCTTAAACTCTTAAACCGTCTTTGATTGTCGAAAGGCGATAGCTACCGATCTGCGATGCGATATTTTATCTTGACGCAATAATCTCCTTTGCATAAGCTCAGAGACTGCATGTGGCGCGGGACAATATCGGGGTTGGTGCTGCTGTATTGTATACCAGTAATTTGTAAATGACGGTTGTACCACATGCCGTACGCAGTAGATTACACAACATTAATTTTTATTATACTTAGCGGAGGTGCAAATATTCAGTTTTACCATACCGGCATAATATGTATGTCTCCATAGCTTGATATGCGTAGCTTTACCTATCGAAGTACAGATACATACTTAGGTACTTAGAAGTTACAATAAATCTGGAAACTTTCCATATCAATAATACTTTATAGCAATGCTTTGTATCCGCATACACTGACCGATGGCATTGAATGAAATCTGAAGGATATACATGTCTTAAATTGTGGGAGCGGTTCTAAGCGAAAGATAGCTTTTTACCTATTTCCCGTTCCCAGCAAGTAATTTTGGAGATTTCGTTTACATTCGATGGCATTACACCGAAACAGCAGTAAATTTCTGCGCAGTAGTTTTAATATGTCTGTTTTGGGCCTGGTAGAGACGTACACCGGTATTGGAATTGCAGAGCTGCGCATTGCACCTACACGTAAAACAATTACAGTAAGTTAACGAAGTCTGACTCGCGATAACCTGAAGCGGCATCGTAACGAGCCGCCTAACGCTTGTTGAATGATCCACTGTATACTGGAGTTTCCACAAAACAACTGGCCAACCTAAAATTACTCTGAAACACTGATGATTTTAGCCAAAGATTGCTGCTCCCAGACTGATCGTAAACCTCAGGGTATAAATAGACAAGCACGACGCTTTAAGCGCCGCGAGAGTTACAGTACAGCATTTCTTAAAAACACAAGGCATCCAGACAATCGAGACACATTCAGTATTGCAATTTCAACTGAGCGCTATACGATTTTTTGTGACATAATTTGTTTAAAAATTTCCTTATTTATTTACTTGCATAGAAATCAGAATGGAGACGATAATTAGTGTTATCCTACTGCTTCTGTCCGTAGCCGGATTAAACGGTAGTCCACCGAAAAAAAAATGCCTGGTTCAAGGACCAATAACGCTGCCCGATGGAAAGAATATTACCGGATCGAGGAATGTGGGCGGATGCACATGCAAGGAAGTGTTTGACCAAGAGTTTAATCCTAACGGTAAATATTTTTTCTTTGTTAGACTCAATATGTCACCATGAAATTTTTGCAAGGGATTTTTGAGTACTTCGTCGTATCGCTATAATGCAAATTATAAAGCATCAGTAATTACATTCTACATTTAAAAAAAAAAACATTTATAGCCGTAATAATGCATGGCGACGGAAAATAATTTAATAATTTCGACGTTTATTACCTGCATAGTGTGCATATACGTAATAATCCTAAGTTTCTGGTTTTATTTTGTTCTGGTGCCTTTGTTTCTGTTTGCGATGAAAGTTTTCATTTAATGGCAGTGATACAGTTATGTGAGATACTATGATATTAATAGTGCAAGACGATGTGGGCGTCACGTGTAACAAGGACGGCTCCTGGAGTCTGAAGCAAGATCGTTGGCAGTTCGCATACTGCGTGGACAAGCAGGGCAACCAGGTCAGCGAGGTGGTCGTTCAGGAGCACTGGAGTCTCCAGTGCGATCCGGTTCCGCGTATGCCGGGAACAGTACCGCCCCTGCGTCCCCGGAAGCCGACTTCCCGCCGTCCATCCGCTGGCGCGGCCTCGCATAGCTGAAAGCCGTGCAGAAACAGAAACATTAACCCAATTCATGCATAGGCTTTCTGCTATCAATGTTTATTCAATAGCATCAGTCGTTGTGGTTTCTCTTATCACCGAGAGTCCGAGACCAGAATTAATGGGAAAGCAGAATACTTAATCATATGAAGTTTTAAAGCAATCCGTTATTCTTGCGTTGAGTGTTTGGTAAGCTCTTTTGCTAGGTACTTACTTGTGTTAGCCCATACAGTATACTTGTGTTATACGATTAAATGATAGAAGATAATTCCAAAGGGTGGTCACCGGCGCTCGTTTTGAACTGGTTGTCTGCATGTGCCTTCTGTTTTGTCTTTGATTGTTGAATTCGGGCGACTGTATTACTTTAGTGCTTAAGTTCTCTTTAATATTCGCATTTTACTAATTTTATCCAGTTCATCCTGGGAACAATATCTAAAATTTTTATTTAATGTAAAAAAAATATTTCTATCGGCTCTAAATCAGATACTGGTACTCGTAATACGACTGACATAGTAGAAAAACATATGGGAATTCGATGGCGAATAATATTTTTGAAAATCATATATATTTTTTGTTTTAGTGTCAAGGTCAACAAAGTCATTTGAGAGACATAATTATTACCCTACATTATGTACAATCGCTGATGCCGTTTTGCCAGATCGTGCATAATTGGCTTTCAAACTTGAATAAGTCGCAATTGTTTGTGACAGCAATTTTGGACTTCCCATTTTACTGTGATTCACGATGTTACGCAATCTTCTTGTTGTGTGTATACTGTATACCGTAGTACGGTCGTTAATAAATCATTAGGGTGCAGTAAATGCAGCCGTTCTGCCGCATTCAGTTTGTTAAAGAAACATTAACAGTATTCAGGATGAAATTTCGTAGCGCTGTCACCAACTCCACCGCCCAAACAGAAAAAAATTATTGTTATTGAGTAAACATTCGGCATCCATAATCAAAATAAGCAACCAAATTAGGACTCATCCAAATTTTTAAACACACTGATCAGCAATGTTATTGCATTAAATATTGTTTAGGATATCTTCTGAAGTTGCCGCAGACGGCATCAAATTAGATCGGTCTACGGAGTGGTTCATGAACGGCGTGCAACTTAATCGCATTTCAGCTCCCCAGGACGCTCGATTTGCTTTTCGGTAATCTGGTTACCGTTCTTATCCACGCAATACGCCGATCGCCACTGCATCTGTCGCGGTCGCCATGTCCCGTCGTCATTGCACTGCGGGAACGCTTTGTCCGCAACTGTACAGTGCACATAAATATTACGTATCAGAACGACTATCAAAACCACATTAAAACAAAGTATTTATAGTACTTAACATACTTAATTAGTTGCTTATAGCACTATAGTACTTAATTATAAATACTTCTGGTACTTATAGTAAGTACTTAATTAGCTGCTCTCGGCATGTTCCCATATATATTGGTTGTACCGGTTATTGAATGAAAATATAATTAATATCACGTGCGTAAGAAGCTGCTACGAAGCACATGTGTATTTTGCAGTGCGTGATCAAAAGCGTACTTCGTGGGTCAAACTCCTCCTTGTAAGCCTCCTTGCACGTGCAGCCGCCCACATTGCGCGTTCCCTGGATTGCCTTCCCATTGGGTAAAGTCATAGGTCCGAACACCAGGCATTTCTTCTGCGTTGGGGAAGCGCACAACGCTACTCCCGCCATCAATAAAAGCACTCCTAGGATTGCGGTGTGCATGTCGGAAATGGTTGGCACGCTTTTAATTTAGCACTTGCACGATTCGACGGAAATTTGTTGAATGTGAAAAATGTAATATTTGACACAAACCAAATCAAAGGCCCGGTATTTTATACCGTAAATTGAAATTTATTACAACACACTGTTTGAATTCCAGGACAGCTGACTTCCGTCTGCTTTTTTTGCTTCCCAGAGGCGGTAATAATTACTGTTACTTTCGACATGCATATCATTAAGCATTGGGCAGAAAGCGTATAGTGAGTGTATGAGACGTTCTGGCACTTAAGCGGTCCGATTTCAAGTTTTTATATACGAGGAACTGATTGTAATTAAAATATGGCAATCGCAATTGCGGGCGGCGGAATACACGGAAATTATGTTATAAACTGCACTGAATGACAGTTATAGAGGTTGGTCAGAAATGATTGACAGCTGTTACGACTTGTTCACTTTTGCGCGGAAGTAAACCTCGCAAGCCAGGAGATCGCAACCCGCATTGCAGTTAATACTGGAAGCATATTTGGGCTAATTGTAAATTCAAATTATATTCTGTCATATTTACATGACGAAACGAAACAGGACACCGTAAACTGATATTTTATTTTTCGAAGAGTTGCGCATTTTTAAATAAAGCAAAATTTATCTCGTTTACGACCGATTATCTGCCAGTTGTTGCTGCCGCGCACTGCACCCTCTTTCTACTCTTTCATACCTCTCGGGCACTGGGTATAGCACAATTTAGGGAGACCTCTCGGAAATGAGTTATCTATAACTCATTTTGTTCAGAAAAAGTCAGTATATCTTATTTACTGTACATCGCCGCATTACTCATCCTAGCTGACAAATTACACAAAGCTGTAACGACACGTGTCCTTCCGTAAAATTCTCCGTAAGTACGTGAGAAGAGCTGCCGGCTTACCAAAATCCGGCACATTAAAAGCAATTAAACCGTCTGTGGTTGCCGCAAGGTAGGATTGCAAAAATGTAGAAACGCGAAGCCTGAAAGTGGCAAGTATAATAGAATATAAAAAACTCCACATCAGTCGGTATGGCTGCGTCCATTCTTAAAATTAAAAGCTATACATTTTCCGCGATACGATGAATACCGCCATTACCGCCATTTTAATTTTTATTGTTACGGTAGCATTAGATGCCGTGCCGGCGCCGCCAACAAGGAGTCAGTGTATGGTTTTTGGACCACTGACGCTGCCAAACGGGAAAAAGACCAGCGGTTACCGCAATCTTGGTGGATGTGTATGCAAAGAGGCACATGATCAGGAACTGAGCCAGCCAGGTACAATCTAACCTGTTGTATAAAATCTGAAGAAATATACCCATTACTGATCAAATAACTATTGTTTTATATATGAGTCATATGACGCATTTCTGTTACGTCCTAGCGATGGATAAATATATCCCGGCGTGCGAAAAAGATGGAACTTGGACTAAACGCCAAACGCAGTTTCTCACTGCATGGTGCGTCGACAGACAGGGAAACCAGATCAGTGAGGAAAACCACGAGCAACCATCGAAACTACAGTGCAAATAAATTTTTTACCCTTAGTAAGCTTTTAACCGAAAAAGATAATAAAATGCACTAGCGCCTAAAATACATTTGCGTGTACTCGGGAAATAAACTATCTGCAGCTGACCAACACTTCGAATTGTCTACAGACACTCAGAGTCTAAGAGCAAGTACTGTAATAATATTTAGTCGACAAAGTAATAATTATTGCGGGCGCGGAATGTGAACTCTGAAGTACTCGTAACGTAATTGCTAGATAAATTAATGCATGCTCCGATGCTCGCTTATAACAGTGTACCAGCGATCACAAAAAATTCACTGAAAATCCCTGGAAAGCTCACTGTCGTTAATCAAGGTCTCAGAGTATCTGCATTATTCACAGCGTGCTCCAGTCTGTAATTATGCTGTTAGCATTAATATTAACTGAAGAAGGCCAACGGCATTGTATAACAGAGGTGAAATACGGTATATGCCACAATTAAATATGCCACACACTTTCAGTCAGTTTAATAAATCACAGTGTTGTCACAAGCACACTGAAGTCTGGAGGGTTCTGGTTGCCGCTCGCTGATTTGGTTACCGTTTCTGTCGACAAAAAATACGGCTTGGTGTTTCGTACCGATATTATACGAGCTCTGAAGTGGACTCTATGATCCGTTTTTCTCGCACGAATGCAGTCCTGGCCTACAGAAAATGGTTTTCCTAACGCTATAAAATTAAATAAAACATTGCTGTAGTACTACGGAACGACATCGTACAGCACCAAATATTTTATGCCGTGAAGTTTACGTACCTTGCCTTATCTGTTCACGAGCTGCTATACAGCCTATACACGTGCATCCATCCATATTGCGTCGTCCTTGAATTGTTTTTCCATTGGGTAATGTAACTGTTCCCTTTCTAAGGCACAGTCTGGCGTTGCCTACTAATATCAGGACGAGTACAACCAAAACTGCGGTTTGCATTCTTCAGTGTTTAAAGGTAAACTTTCTAACCACGAACGATCTGCTTTTTAAACCTTCGCAAAGCAAGATGCATGCCACATAACGAAAGAAGGCCATCCTTTATGTACTTGCAAAATTCAAACGCGTAATTATTTCTGGAGGGGACGTTCAGTCACGTTCTGTAGTCTGATTTCGTACTGATAATTAGGTAGGACGCTCAGCCAATTATAAAATTTTCGCACTAGCCAACGTGCATGATATTGCCAGGTAATTTGCTGTGCTTCTACAATTTTGTTTTCTACAAAATTCGGAAACAATCTGTCGCTAACTGGATTAACGCATTTCATAGCAAAAACGTGCTGGTACTCACTGAGAAAAAATCGTTATTATCTGTAGTTAGAGAGCATTGGCTTTTTTTTCTGCGGAAGAAATATTTTGTTAGCACTAACTGGACAAGGCATTTCGTGGTAAATCACTGCGTCGTCGAAGTACACTGAATGTTTGAGGACTGCGGGCGCCGCTAGCTTATCTGGTTGTCGTTCCTGTCGACACAGAAAACACCAGTGCTTTCCGTCCGGACATTCCATGACTTTTGAAGTGTCTCCATGATCCATTCTTTTCACAGGAAGCAGCGTGTGGTCTTGGTCTACTCGTATAGAAAACAGATCTCTTAATTTCCATAAAATTTGATAAATATTGCCATCTTACTACGGAACGATAACGTGTATAGCACATAATACATATATATTTTATGGAGTAAAGGTAACGTACATGTCATTAATTTTCTTCTTCACGATGTAACGTGGGGCCTTATGGGCGCCCACGTACCTTCGACGGCGAAACAGCGGAGAACCCGGATTGAGGCTTTAATGCCGAAATCTAAGGTGCGCACCGTGGCGCAGCAAACACCGACTAATGAGATCGGATCCTACAGCCAGCGCAGCTGTGCTGTAGGTCCGTCAAACACCACAGAAATGTGTGGGATGGAAATCCCCAGAAACAGCGAAACACAACGGCGAATGGCCAATCGTGAAGGCGGAGCTATCGGCCTTCACATCCCTGTACTGTCCAACACTGAGCCCCTGCGAAGTGCATGAAAATGGCGGTATGCGCCGTAAATAAGAAAATGTACGAAGTCATGTCAGTATGCATGCAGTACAAGTAACATAAAATCAAATGAGAAAAAACACTGCGTAGTACAGGCCCGTCCCTGTACTACGTCCAATTGACTTTACTACCGGATACACGGTTCCACTTCGGGCGGCTTACGGTCCGGCTCGGTCAGTCCAGGTCGGGTAAGGTGATCCGGTCGGCTCAGTCTTGTCGGCTCGAGTCCGGTTCAGCTCAGGTCGGGTTCCGGGTCAGGTCGGCTCCGGTTCGGTCAGAGGTCGACCTATTGGGTCAACGCACTGTCGCGAAAGATCCAGGGTCCAACCCGGAAACAGGAAAGTTCCGTGGTTTCTTCAGCAGGGAAAGGTCACGTTCTGGGAAAATTTGGGCAGGGGTTTGGGGCATCGGTACGCTCGTGACCCTGCAAACAAACAAATACGCTGCTCCGGTGGGGATATTCCACTGCTCCGTCAGGGTGAAGATCGCCATCCCAGGAAATACGGGCAGGGCTCTGGTGGGGGGAATTCTTCGGCGTGATGCTGGTGGTCGATCCGGCCGTAGGGATCGGAGTTGGTGCTGCTGGTCGCGGTGTATCCGTTCTGGTTTCCCGCTGAATCCGGGCCGCGTCCGCCGTCGGCATCGCAGGAGGCGATTCTCGCTCTGCGGCATCTCCATCGCCTTCTGGTGGAGGCATCCAACGCGGTCCGCATTGGGGTGCGTTCTGCACGGCAGGTGGGTTTCCCGGGGGGCTACGGATGGAGCTCCACACTCGGGGGTTGCATTGGCAGCGATCCGGTCCACAACCCAGAAGTGCTGCGTGCGCGGGAGCGCGCGTAGCTGGGACTGTCAGCCAGCTCTGCTACCATGTAACGTGGGGCCTTATGGGCGCCCACGTACCTTCGACGGCGAAACAGCGGAGAACCCGGATTGAGGCTTTAATGCCGAAATCTAAGGTGCGCACCGTGGCGCAGCAAACACCGACTAATGAGATCGGATCCTACAGCCAGCGCAGCTGTGCTGTAGGTCCGTCAAACACCACAGAAATGTGTGGGATGGAAATCCCCAGAAACAGCGAAACACAACGGCGAATGGCCAATCGTGAAGGCGGAGCTATCGGCCTTCACAACGAGCTGCTCTACAACTGCATCCGCCAACACTGACTTGACCGTGAATTGTATTCCCATTGGCTAAGGTAACGGTTTTGGTAGTCAGACGCTGATCTGCGTAAGAGCTGACCACTGACACAAGAACGAGTGCAGTCAAAACTGCGCTTTTCGCTTCAGTAACAAAATTTCAAGTATGACACATGTACGGTTTCGTGTGTTAACCAAGCAATACAAGATATGTGCCACATAATGGCATAAGCCACCCTTATTTATTTCCCTGAAAAATCGTAATTATCTCTCGAGGGCAGCTTTCTTAGATAGGTTTCCGTGCTAATAGAAGTTAGCGATTTATCGCTAACTTAGGTTAACGCAGTCAAGAGAAACGCCGGCCTCCTTTTCAAAGCTGCCGATTTTTCCGCAGAGCCTTCGCCATGACAAGTGATTGGTTGACCTTTTAGCCGGACGCCATCTTGCTTTTCATACTGGCGCAGCATATATCGTGCGGTGGTTTAATTAGCTAGCATTTTGACCGTTTGCTGTTTTTGAAGTTTTTGTGGTTTGGTTTTAGATTTCGGAATTTTATGTGCCCTAGGTTTTCCTTTTCCGAAGTTTACATGCATTGTGTTATTGGCGATCATCGTTAATTTGTTTTCTTGATACAGCCGCAACAAAATGCCTCCAAAGCGGGCAGCACCAAAGGCTGCTGCGCAGCGTCGTAAACGGGTCACAGGTTCGGGAAACATCAGGATCCTTGTTGAAAATTTGGCATCTCTACCGGGTAGTTGTCATATCGTCCGTACCTACCGTCAGTGTTCCAGTCGTGTCGACTACACCAGAAGCAAATATCGAGCAAGAAATTGCAGCAGCGCAGCGGAACCTTCAAGATTTGGTGGCTCGTCGAGATGCTGTTTCCCGTGCTGATCAAGAGGTTGTAGTAGTGCCGGTTTCCAGTGTCGCACAGCCGTCTGTACCAAATGAAACGAGCGTGCTGATGCAGCTGATGCTCAGTCAACAAAATCAGCTGATGTTGCAGACACAGAAAGTGAACGATTCTGAATCCTCGGGATCGCAAACAAGCACAAAGACCCGTGGCAAGAAACCGCCTCCTTTGCCAGCAAGTTTTCCGTTCGTGAATGACAAATGTTTAGAGGAACTGTACGACTTGACAGTGAATGTTGACCTGGATAAATTGCTCAGAGCCAATAGTATCGTGTCGCCGATATAAGGAGAAGCAAAAATCGAAATCAGAGACGGGAATTATGTTTTGTCAGATTCGAAACCTCGAAGGTCACTATTACTTCACTGAATCAGTGGAACGAAGCTTTCATTGTTTTTCGGCGTGTGCGGTCTTTTTATTACCCGAAAGTACGTGATCCACTGGACTCTTATCAGACCATCGTCAACGAACTGGCAGGCGTTCATTCGGCAGTGGTATGGCTTGAAAACGATAAAACCTTCCGTGCAAATCGTATTCGCAACACCAACAGTTATGACGAGTGGAGCAGGTTGGATCGAAGCCTGCTGGATCGTTGAGTTGCTCGCCTGCCAAACCGTGCTCACCTTCCACTGTGCAACACCTATCTGCTGGCTGACCACACGGTTCAAGAGTGTCCCAAGAGTCTCCAGTTGCCTGCTCACGGTCGTACTGACATGGCGGGCCGGCCCTTTCGACACATCCCGCCAGATGTGTGCAGGAACTGGAACTACGGGAATTGCACGAAAGGATTAAACTGCCGATACAAGCTTCTTCGTGGCGAATGTCGAGCATCCGATCACCCCGCGTTTGAACACACTGGAAATCGCAACAAGTCTACCAGCCAAGCCACCTTGCCTGGGATCCGACCCTCGCATAACAACATCAGTTTCCGCCAATAGACTGGCAGAACGTTTGGTACTGCAATACCCTGATATTGACGATCTGCAATTTCTTTTACAGAGGTTCCGATACGGCTTCAGT